AATGCTAGGGATATAAAGAAAGCAAAAACAGACCTGCTCTCAAGTGGCTCACAGTGTAATAAAGTAGAGTATATACATGCAAACAGCTATGGACAGATAACCTATATATAATATCAATAGAATAATATGTTATTATTATAGAATATATTATATATATATTATGGAATATAAGAGAATATATATTATAGCATATAATATAAATATATTATAGAATAAAATATAAATAGAATGGAAATAATCTCAAAAGGAAGGCACTAATATTAACGAGGATCAGGAAGGGTTTCTTGCAGATGGTGAGATTTTACCTGGGACTTGAAGGAAGCCAAGAAAGCCAGGAGACAGAGATCAAGATAGAGAGCATTCCAGACATAAGAGAGCTAGCCAGTGAAAATGCACAGTCAGGAGATGGAGGATCTTGTTGGCAGAACAGCTAGGAGACCCAAGTCATTGGATCTCAGAGTATGAGGAGGGGGGTAGGGTGTAAGAAAACTAGAAAGGCAGGAAGGGACCAAGCTGTGAAGGGCTTTTAAAGCCAAGCAAAGGAGTTTCATATTTGTTTCTGCTGGTGACAGGAAACCACTAGAGTTTATTGAATAGGTGTTTCCTTTTCTCCTAGCAGAGAAAAGGAAACAGATGTAAGAGACATGGGTGAAAGCAATGAGAATCGCCTGGATAATGAAGTTGAAAGAATGAATAGAGAAGGATGACTCCTGACTGAGAAGTAGCTTTTTTCCTGCAGTCTTCAAACAACAACTGTCAGGTACCTAAATGGAAGACTGCCATATCCTGCTTAACCATGAAAATACACATTGGGGTGTGGAAGGGATGGCAAGGGAGGAGGGTACAGTAAATTTCTTGGACAGAATGCTGTAAGTGGAATGATATTATAGCTGGGTTTTGAGTGGTGAAAGTATGGCTTTGACAGAATGTTTTAGTTATGTTTTTGGTTAATGACATTAGCTGAAATGTGTCTATAATGCAGCTGGGAAACCAGTTGACATATCACTGTTACTTAAGACAGGTAGCTCTCATGTTGTATTAAAGCTAAGTGGGACCTCAGAACCACATTCTTAGACAAAAGTTTGTACAGATGAGTTTAGGCTCCTTGGTAATGTGATCTGACTGGGTCAGACTAGGTCCCTGGCTCTAATATGTCACTCACAGACACATGGGCCAGTGGGGCTTCTCCACAGATCTATGGTCTCCCAGAGACCCAGAAGACAAAAAGTTCATTCTCTTGACCAACGGCTAGAGTGTTGACCCAGAGGGAAACACACTCAGATACAAGGACAGCAACTAGCAAGGACAGACATCTTCAGGTTACCAGGCCTTACACAAACTCCCTCACTCTATCCACACGCAGACACCATCCCTCAATAATTCTGCAGCCCACATGAGAAAGGGGTAGGTTAGACTGGCCAGTAGAAAGGATTCCCCCTATGCTGATTGGTGATTCTTCCTCCAGCCATACTGCACTCTTCAGACTGTGCCGTCATGCTGCTGCTTTTTCCTGCCACCTTCCATTTTGAGGAACAGCTTAGACCAGCCGTGTTTCCTTCTCTGTACTTTGTCACCATGCTGTCATTGCCAGTACTTCCCCCAACTCAATCCCTTTCCAGCTCTATTTTATGTGTCTTCTTACCATTAGAATGCAAGCTCCTTGAGGCCAGGGACTGTCTTTTTTTTTATTTGTATTTGCATCTCCAGCATTAAGCAAAGTGCCTGACACATAGAAAGTACTTAATAAATGTTTTTTGACTAGACTTGACTTGACTTGTTGCAGAAACCTTGCAGCTTTACAGGTGGGAGTGTAGGCTGATCTCCGGAAGTGACTACAGCAATTGCAGGTGGGAGGTTGTTCACAAGCTTCTAAAGTGCATCCTGAGCCCTACAGTTCATGGAGTCCTGGATTGTGGGACTGCAGCCAGTGGGCACCAGTGAAGGCTCTAAGCTGTTGGCAGGCTTACACAGAGAATTGGGTACTAAGTTTTAGGAGTAGTAAGTGGCATGCTTGGGAGCAACTACAGAATGCTTCAGAAAAAAAAAAAACAAGCAGAAGGGTAGGCTCTAAAAGGACATTGTTTCACTGTGTCTATCACTATAACTAAAAGTTATAATAATAACCTCGTATTTATGTTATGTGTTTAGCTTTTCGAAGTATTTTACAACTATTAATCATCTCCCTTTATCTTCAAAATAGCCATGTGAGCTGGTTAAAGCAGGTATTATTTTCTCCATATGAAAGAGGAGGAAACTGCCAACAAGGTGGTACAGCCTCAGCAAGAAGGTAAGGTTTATGGGGCAAGAAAGTCATGAGACCTGAAAAACAGAGGTTGGCCGTGTAGCCTTGGGTAAGTCGTTGAGCTTCTGGGCGCTTAAGTTTTCATACGATCATGGGATTTTAGATTTACAAGGGACCTTGGAGATTCTAGTCCATCTTCCCCATTTTGACTGATGAGAAAACTGAAATCCCAAGGGATGAAATGGCTTGCCTAAAGTCACACAGTGAGTTAGGGCAGCTAGATGGCACAGTGGATAGAGCACTGGGCTTGAATTCAGAAAGATCTCAGTTCAAATCCAACATCAGACATTTACTAGCTGTATGACCCTGGGCAAGTCATTTAATCTTTGTTTGCCTCAGTTTCTTTATCTGTAAAATGGAGCCACTAGATGGAACAGTGGATAGTGTGCCACGCTTGGAGTCAGGAAGACTCCTCTCTGTGCATTCAAATCTGGCCTTAGACACTTACTAGCTGTGTGACCCTGGGCAAGTCACTCTTTGCCTCAGTGTTTGCATCTGTAAAATGAGCTGGAGAAGGAAATGGCAAGCCATTCCAGTATCTTTGCCAAGAAAGCCCCAAATGGAGTCAAGCAGAGTTGAAAACAACTCAACAACAACAGTGATGATAATAACAGCACCTACCTCCCAGGGTTGTTGTGAGGATCAAATGAGATGATAATTGTAAAGCTCTTAGCACATAGTAGGTGCTATACAGATGTTAGGTAGCATCACCAACATCATCACCATCACCACCACCACCACCACCATCATCATCATTGGCAGAGCCAGGTGCCTTTGACTCCCAATACATTTCTTTTTTCATCACCCACCATGGTGCTTCTCTAAAGTACTTAACAGTCAAGCATTCCATTCCCACAGACAATGTCCTATAGACAATAGGATCTTATGGACTTTTCCTGAGAGGGTCTTTTCTGATGAATGAAAAGCTGATTCAAGGAAAATAGTCCAACAGTGCAACATATGAAAGACCCTCCCAGTCTTTGTAGTGATATATCTGGAAGGCCATTTCTGAGAAGTGCTTCGGGGACATACAGACACACACACACACACACACAGAGTCACATATATGTGTGTGTGTGTGTATATGTATGTATGTGTAAATATATATATACATATATACATACATATATATATATATATATCACATATATTATGGGTAGCTAGGCAGCACAGTGGATAGAATGCCAGCAATGGAATGAGGAGAACCTGAGTTCAAATCCAGCCTCAGACATTTACTAACTGTATGACTCTGGACAAGCCACTTAACCCTCTTTGCCGCAGTTTCCTCATCTGTAAAATGAGCTGGAGAAGGAAATGATAAAGCACTCCAGGATCTTTGTCAAGATGACCCCAAATGGGGTCATGAAGAGTTGGTCATGACAGAAGTGGCTGAGCAACAACAAAAACTTACATAGCTCTTTATAGCATAAATATACATATCTATGTATAGATTTTTCATCTGATGCTTACAACTCTTTGAAATAGTTATAACAAAAGCAGAGGCAGCTAGGTGATGCAGTGGAAATAGCACCGGCTCCGGAGTCAGAAGGAACTGAATTCAAATCCAGACTCAGACACTTGACACTTACTAACTGTGTGACCCTGAGCAAGTCATTTAATCCCAGTTGCCTCATAATAATGATAAATAGCTTTTATGTAGTGCTTTAAGGTTTACAAAGTTGTTTGTTTTTATAAATATTATCTCATTTTCTCCTTACAACACTAGGAGCTAGATACTATTGCTATCCTTGTTTTATGGATGAGGAAACTGAAGCAGACAAAAGTTAAGTGTGACAGAGTGACATAGCTAGGAAGTGTCTGAAACTGGATTTGAACTCAGATCTTCCTGGCTCCATGTCCAGCATCCTATCCATTGCATCACCAGCTGCGTAGGTGGTTATTATTACCTACATTTTGTAGTTGTAGAAACTGAGGCTCAGAGTTTAAATAACTTGCCTACACGGCACCATATAGACTTAAAACAAAACAAAACAAATTGAAACAGTGATTTCGTTGGGGAGGGAGCTCTTGGTGATAAATTTCCTCTACCAATACAAGTTGGCACCTTCTCTGAAAGAGAAACTCTTAGAGAATTGTCTAGAGCATTGAGAGGTTAAGTGACTTACCCAGAGTCACACAGCTGGTAAGTGACAGAGAAAGGACTCTTACCCCAAAGCTAGCTCTCTATCCACTGCCAGATAACCCTTAGTTAGATCTAGCATGCTTTCCTCATAAAAATGTTACAGGGCAGGTCAGGCAATTGTGATCACTTTTGTCTTGAAGAGGAGGAATCTGAGGCTCAAAGCCCTTTATATGAGGTGCTCAGACCCACAGCTAGTAAGTGGCAGAAGCAGCATTCGAATCCAGATCTTCCAACTCCAACCCTAGTCTTATTCTTTGCTTCACTAATGTTGGAACCTCTACAACAAACATTCTTAACCTGAAGTCTGTAAACATTTAAAAAAAAATTTTGATAACCATGTTTCAATATAATTGTTTCCTTTTTAATCCTATACATTTTATCTTAGACATTTAAAACATTATTCTAAGGAAGAGCCCATAGACCTCACCAGACTGCCAAAGGAGTCCATGGCCCCAAAAAAGTTTAAGAACCTCTGATTGAGAGTTTAGCACTAGAGTAAGGTGACCAGAAGAGAGAAGACAGCAGGTGGATTAGGCAAGTGGGAAGCTACCCTACCTGCCCTTGAACTTGCAAAATGGTGCATTCCAGGATGAGCCAACCTATGACCTTCCTCCAAAGTCCATTTGTCACCGAGGTCCATCCTGGCAATGGAAGTCTGTTATGAGCAGCTTGCCAGACTAGTCTCCTAAAACCAGAAAGTGAATACACAAAAGAGGGAGTGAATTCCTACAACTGCTCTTCTAAGAGGGGTTAGGGATTCTTTCAGGAATACAGTCAGTTTCTGGTTCATGAAGTTGTCACCATGTACAAAGAACTTGTGACCATTCTAATGTCCACACTAGGAACCACTCTCTCGGGGTGGGGAGGAGGGAGTGAGGAGAAAGGCAGCTCAAGGCTGAGCTTGGAACAGAGCTTCACTTACTTCTCATATTTTGTGGTAAACCGAGTCTGGGCCCCAGGGCAGCATAAGCATATGACCTTGAACTCATACAGATTTCTGAGAAGACCCCACTCAGTACAATGTCATAATTTTAGAGTTGCAAGGGATGTCAGAAGCCAGTTAGTGCAACACCCTCATTCTACAAATGAGGAGACCAAAGACCAAGGAAGTCAAGTGATTACATAAGGAAAAAAAAGCACACAACAAAATTCAGGACACCATGGGCATGCTACTGTACCCCTTCCTGAACCTCACCTGGATTTTCTGCTTATACCCTCACATTCTCCGGTCACTGGCTTAATTAGTGGAACATCATTTCCTCTTTTGGACTCCAGATTCCACAGATACTCTAATTGCAGGCCTGGGCAGAAATACGAATGCACTCAATTTATGTTTCATCCTGGCTATTTCCCTTAGCTCTGGCAGGGAGGCTGCATCCTGGTGAAGCCTCCAGCATGAGTAAATCCCCTTTTATTCTCTTGCACTACTAACCCGCACTTTACTTTTTCTCTGACTGTTGTTCTAAGGTCCATGTTTTCCTTCCTAAAGTGGAACGATGCCAGCCATCTACTTGTGAAATCATAGGATTTAATGCTGGAAGGTATCTTAAAGGTCATCCACTCTTACCTTCTCATTTTATATATAGGGAAACTGAGGCACAAAGAGGTTAAATGATTTGTCCACTGATTGGTCTCCCTGCTTCAAGTCTCTCCCCACTCCAATCCATCCTCCTCCTTTCAACTGTCCAAGTCGATCCTTCTTAAAGCGCAGCATTGATGTCACACACCAGCTCCTCCCTTTCTACGCACACAGTCAATAAACTCTAGCAGTTCCCTGTCACCTCCAGGATCACACATAAAATCCTGTTTGGCATCCAAAACCCTTCTTAACCTGGTGCCCAAACTCCAATCTTCTTGCGCCTTACAGACCCTCAGCAGCGCTGGCTGCCTTGCTGTTCCTGAGCATTTTTCCTAGATGTCCCCTGTTGCTGGAACTCATCCTTCTCTTCTCCTTCTCCTCCTGGTTTCCCTGGCTTCCTTCAAGTCCTACCTAAAGGCCCATCTTCTGCAAGAAGCCTTTCCCAGTCTTTAATGTTAGAACCTTCCCTCTGAGATGATCTCCAATTTAAACTTTCTATAGCTCATTTGTCCGTAGTTGTTGCAGGTTGTCTCCCCCACTAGACTGTGAGCTACTTTCAGGTTTTCTTTTTATCTTTCTTTGTATCACTAGCACTTAGCATAGTGCCTTACACATAACAGGTGCTTCATAAATGCTAGTTGACTTACAAGAACTGATGCTGAGTGAAGTGAGCAGAACCAGGAGAACATTGTACACAGTAACAGCAACCATGTGCGATGACGGACTTTGACAGACTTAGCTCTTCCCAGCAATGCAAGGATCTAAGACAATTCCAAAAGACTCATGATGGAAAATGTTATCCACATCCAGAGAAAGAACTAAACAAAACATTCTATTTTCTCTTTTTTGTTGTTGTTTTTTCATTCTTGTAGTTTTTCCCTTTTATCGTAATTCTTCTTTTATAACATGACTAATGTGGAAATATGTCTAGTATGATTGTACATGTATAACCTACATCAGATTGCATGCCGTCTTGGGGAGGGAGGAGAGGAGGGATGGGAAAAATTTAGAACTCACAATCTTATAAAAGTGAATGTTGAAAACTAAAAATTAATTAATTAACTTTAAAAAATAAATGCTAGTTGACTGACTGTAAGGTCACCCAGAACAAGTAGCAGTACCCAAATCTGAACCTCCTCAGTCTCCTGTCTCAGGAGAGACAGTCTCCAAATCCAAGGCTTTTCCCGCTACATTTCACTTCTCCTTGACTATTTCTGCCCTTGTCCCCATTTGGTAATGCTAAGTACATAGTCATTAATCAACACACACTTTTTAAGTGTCTTCTATGCTTCAGGCACTATACTTGATGCTAAGGATCCACAGACAGAAGTGAAATGGTTCTTCCAGTTCTATTGGGATGGACAACATGGGATCAGAGATCATAGATTATGGATAAGAAGATCCAAGATGTAGAGCTAGAATGAATTTTTGAGGTCATCATATCCAATATCCCTCTTGTATGTTGCAGATGAAGAAACTAAGGCACAGAGAGGTTAAGTGACTTGTTTAGAGTCATACAATTAGCAAGTATCTAAGATGAATTTGAACCCAGTTTTTCCTGACTCCAAGTCCAGTGCCTAATCCACTATACTGTGGCACTTTTCATACACACACACACAGACACACACGCTTAAATGTATATTTATATATGTGTGAGTGTGTATACACGCATACTCTACACACACACCTATAAGGTAATTGGGGAGAGGGAAAAGAGAGTGCTATTGACTTGAATTAAAAGCTAATATTTTTTAAAAAAAGCTAATATTAAGGGGCAGATAGGTGGTGCAGTGGCTAGAGCACCGACCCTGGATTCAGGAGATCCTGAGTTCAAATCCGACCTCAGACACATGATACTTACCAGCTATGTGACCCTGGGCAAGTCACTTAACCCCATTGCCTGGCCAAAAAAAAAACCAAAAACTAATATTAAATACTACACAAAGTTCTAGAACATCAAGGAAAATGATGAAAAGAAGTAGTGATAAAGGGGGAATAGAATTTCCAGACCTCAAACTACATTAAAAAGCAGTAATCATCAAAATTATCCGGATTTTGGTTAAAATATAGAGGTAAATCAATGGAACAAACCAGACAAGAGAGAATCAGAAGCAATGGAACTCAATAACCCAGTATTAGATAAAAACAGAAAAGATAAATTACCTAGAGAAGAATTCTCTATTTGATAAAAGTTTCTGGGGGAATTGGAAAGCAATCTGGCAGAAACTAAGCTTAGACCAACATCCTTACACCATATTCCAAAATACGCAGTAAACCAATATGTGACTTCAATATTAAAGCTGATATTATTTTAAAAAATTAGAAGTAGATAATATACCTCTCACAGTTATGGGCAGGAGATGCATTCCTAACCAAACAAGAGAAAGAGGCAATTACACAAGATAAAGTAGATAACTTTGAGTTCTTAAAATTGAAAAGCTTCTGCAAAAACAACATTAATGCACTTAGGATAAGAAGGAAAGTGGTTGAATGGGAGGAAAATCTTTATATCAAAATTCACAATAAAGGTTTGGTATCCAAGATAGATAAACAACTAATACATATATGTAAAACTAATCACAATTCCATAATATATAAGTGATAGAAGGGTATAAGTTCTCAAAGGAAGAATTGCAAAATATTCACAACCACATTTTAAAAGATGCTCCACATCACTAATAATAAGAGAAATGTAAACCAAAACAACCCTGAGGTTTGACTACACACATTGTAAATTACAAAGATGACCCAAAATGGCAATAATCAACGTTGGATGTGTTGTGGGATGATAGATACACTATATGTTGTTGGTGGAGCTGTGAATTGGAACAACCATTTTGGAAAGTAATTTGAAATTATGCAAATAATGTGACCAAAATATCCATACCATTTGACCCAGAAACTCCATCACTGGGCTTATATCCCAAGGAAGCTATTAATAATAAGAAAGTCTCCAAATAGACCAAAACATTTATAGGAAGACTTTTTGTGACAGCAAAGAATTGGAAACAAAGTAGATGCCCATCAGTTGGGGAATGGCTAAATAAATTGTGCTACATGAATATAATGAAATATTACAGTACTATAAGAAATAATGAATGTGATTAATACAGAGAAGCATGGAAAATCTATATGAATTGATGCAAAATGAAGTAAACTGAGCCAAAATATATATATACAACTATAACATTGTAAATGGAAAGAACAACCACAAACACAAACACACAAAATTAAAAATGAATGTAGTAAAATTATAAAGAAATGCATGATTTGAATGAATAGATATGAGAGAACACCCTAACCCACCCCTTCATAAAGGCAGAAAGTCCACAAGTGCTGCACATTGCATATGTTTTCAGACTTTTTCAATGTATTGATCATTTATGCTGATTTTTTTCTCTTTTCCCTTTTTTCCTTTAAAAAATAGTTTGTTATATGGGATGGCATTCTATGAGGGGAAGAAGTAGGGGAAAAAGAAGAAAAATTTATTTTAAAAAAATACAATATTACATAGGATGTTTGACATGTGGGTGTGCATGTATTCATATGTACATGCATGCAGGAATGTGCCATAGAAAGTCATGTGGGTCTGAATGTCAGATCATCTTTGTATACGTACAAATAGCATATATAATATTTTTTATTTTTTAATTTATTTTTCTTAATCACATGTGAAAACAATTTTTAACATTTTTTAAATTTGAGTTCCAAATTCTCTCCTTCCCTCCCCTTTCTCTTCCCTCCTTGAGAAGGCAAGCAATTTGATATAGATTATGTCATGTAAAAACATAATTTCCATACTAGCCATATTACAAAAGAAAACAAAAAACAAAAAAGAGAGAAATAAAGTTTTAAAAAATAATGCTCATATAATTGTAAACATGTACATTTGAATCCAGCTCTACCACCAATTACTTATGTGACTTTGGGAAGTCACTTAACCTGTATTTGCCTCAGTTCCCTCATGTGTAAAATGGGGATAATAACAGCACCTACTTCACAGGGCTGTTGTGAGGATCAGATGAGATGATATATATGTGGAGCACTTTCCAAAAGATTTTCTGTCTATTCATTCTCAGTCATAGTTACTGGGCCCTCCATTCTTT